TACCAAGAATTAAAGTGCGAAATAAGGATTCTAAGTAGTAACAACATCTCCAGTCCTTATATGGATGTAATTTAACATCGAATAAAGTCTTCATATCTAGTTACCTGCATAGTTTATTATGTATTATGGGCGCCAGATATGGGCGTGAGGCTCTCTGAGTTAAAGGCCCTCTTAAGGAAAGCCGTTTTATTTTGTAAAATACACAAAACTTTATGCCGACTAAATTGCGTGTGTCTTAACCAACTACAAGGAATATACTACTTATTCTATTGGTACAGATGACATATTTATAAAATAGTGAGCGGGCGGGCGACCGCCAGTTTTCCGGATTGGTTGGCTTGTTCCTACAGTGGTGGCATAGTTTGTAGTGATTGCCACAGTATATATTTACGAAGAAAAAAATCAATTTATTTGTATCAGTTATCTAATACCCATAATACAAGCTTTAGCTAGCTTAACTTGGGTCTAAATGGTGCTGTGTCAATTGTCCCGAGATTCTTATTATTATTTATTATGTGATCATGAAACTTCATACCCGTGTAATTGGAATAATTATAGTTTTAAGTGTACAACTATTTATTTTTGCAAACCGATTGGGATATTTTGAGGGAAGATTACTACAATACAGTAGGAAAAACCGTTCCAAAATCAAAATCGGTAAAGCCGTTTCTAAGACTAGCACCCTCAAATACACAGACATACAGACAAAAATTATAACAATTGTTGTTTTAGGTATTACGTAATAAAACCCAAAAATAATTTATATCTGTTATATGAAAAATTATAATTTTAAGGATCAACGATTATAAAAATTATTGTTCTTCTCATATATCCTATAAGTATGGATAGCGAGGCATTACATTATTATTAATAATATGTAAAGATTTTAAGTTTTGTTTTGACGGACTCATTGGTCTTGGAGTTTAGCGTACCGCTTTACTTCCGATGTCTGCGGGTTCGATTTTTCACACGGTACAAACATTTGTACTCATGAGTTCGTATTGGTCAGGGTGTTTTCTATGTATATTCTGTATAAAATCCCGTCTGGACAAAATCTATTCCGTGATCATGGGAGAGCAAGACAGTGTGCTACTAATGCTGCATATAGTATAATAGATTTGCACTCTACTGAAATTACTGTACAATGCATTGATTTCACTTCCAGGTGGATGTTATCGCCAAGCACTGAAAGTGGTACCTACATTATTTGGTGGTTAACCTTCAGTGGTTGGTAAGTATCGAAGTCACGCGACCCGACCAGATTACAGATTGGCAGGTGGCGTGTTGTCCAGGTATGACTTACCGGACTGTGGTTTTAAAGTATTGATTGGGTAAACCCGAATAATATATACATAATTTGATATATATAATTTTGGTTGGAAGAAGCATTCCTGGTGGTCATCATCTTCAGCCTTGACGATCGACAAACAAGAAGAAATGTCCTAAATGAATACATAACATAGGTACTTAAATATGTACCATGAAGTGTGACAGTCCAACCGCACAATATAAAGAAAAATATAAGTAAAGAAAAACGAGAGAAAAATATACTGTATTACAAATTTAGATAGTAGCAGTTCATTTACCATTTGAATTACATAAAAATATAAAAATGAAGACAATATAGTAATAATACTCCTGGACAATTTACACAACGTTATCTAGTACTAATGTAAGTAGAAGTTGTGCTGATATAAATATTTATATAATTTTTTTTTATTTTGTAAACCCGTACGTATTATACATAGAAAACATCCAGAGCGATAAAAACAATCATACTTATAAATACAAATGTATAATAATGTGCGTGCACGGAATCGAACCCGCGAACATCGGAACTAAAATGCTGTGCTAAACCGCTAGACCATCGAGGCAACATCCATATGATAGCATATATGCGACGGTCTGTACTCCCATCATATCCCAGTTTTATCTTTTTATGTAAAGATAATAATACCATACGTAAGTCCATTCTCAACATCTTACGGTATAGTTAAAAATGGACTGTATAATGTCACACACGAGCCTAGTTGCTTCAAGTGGCATATTTAATGTAATTATTTTATTAAAAACATGTAATTTGGTAAAAAAAAAATTGTCTCGTAAAACAAAATACTAGATACAATATATTCATCAGCACAGAATCGCAAATAGAAATCGACTGCATGTCCTCCACCCAATTGGAACCACAAGTAAAAATATAAAAGGAAATAGTTAAAATTGCCGGTAAAAAGATTGCGTATTTTCAGCGGCGAATCGAGTTCATAGTTCAACAACCGGTTATTTTAGGCTACGGGCCGGTGACCCAGTGATGCATCTCCGTGTTGCCAACCCGAATATACGATTATTTCGGGATGAATTGAGAAGGTGTAATCCTTACTAATGACTTCCAACCCTTCAACCGTCTACAAAATTACTATGTTATTTTTTTTAAATAAGACTTCGAAAATTGGATAACCAGCTGTATAGTAAATTCAAAATAACCATCAGTACAATCTAAAATGTTATAGAAAATATTTATACTAATTATAAATTAATATAATTAATTAAGACTAATATAAATTACAATTAATTATTGTAACGATACATGTGTCATTTGTTATATTGTTTGTGCTTCTTCTTTACTGTATGTTGCAAATAAAGTATATTCTATATATCTATCTAATTAATATCACAATTAAAAAAAAGAATTTGGTGATAGAATGATGAAAGTTTAGGAGTGTATGTATTTTTATTGCCACGTCATAAAAAGCATAAACAAAAAAAATATGATGGGTCAGTTTTATCACTTAGAGGTATATAAAATAGACAACCTATTCTCAGACTTGCCGAGTATATATATAATATTTCATCAAAATAGCTTAAACTATTTCGGAGAAATATGGTAACTAACTACATATGTGACACGGGAATTTTATTACATTTTATTATAAAGATTTTATTTTCAGAAATCTAAGGTTGCAGTTTATCTTCGACTATTCACGTTCATGACTATTTTTAACGACTTTCTTTAAGAGAATTATAATTTGCTAGAAGTCAAAGTAGCGGGTTATTGGACTCCATAAAATATGAGTTCAGTGATGGTTGTCTCACCCGTCATACTCGTCAGTGGGTGCTACTTGTAGGGACTGGTCTGTTCTGATAGCTATGACTGATTTATTTTGTTCCTCAAGTAACTATTAATATATTTATATCAAATTTGCTATTTAGCAGTTTGTATTCGCACAAAATTCTTAAAAGTGTAAATCTGAAAAACATATATTTAAAAGAGAGACACGCAAGTTTGTTACTCATTCTTCTTGTGATGAGGCTGCGTTCCTAATGAATGGTCTACCACTATTATTCTAATAAAAAAATATGATTATTCGAAAGTGCTGAAGGTAAGTTAACTGATTATTTTGTTACTCAAGTAACTATTTATTTATTCATGTTAACTTTTCTATTTGGCTATTTGTAATCATACAAAATTCTTAAAAATATAATTCCGAACAACATTTATGTAAAAGAGCAACACGCAACTTTCTTGCTGGTTCTTCTTATGATAAGTTTGCGTTCCGAATGAGTGGTAGAATATAAAATATGACTATTCAATAGTGCGTATATTAAGTTTATTTGAATGAAGACGATTTATATATCTATTTCAAAAATAAAAACTCGCAACTTATGAATCGCAAATCTATGGTAATGATAGGTTTGTATGCAGTTCGTCGACCGGTGACCTAACATTCTGCGGCGGCACTTCGGGCAATGCATAACCTATTTGCATATAATACAATGCATCACTTTATAACCTGTACTTACTACATTCATATTATGAACGACTAAATAAATGGGTTCGCTGATTAAGTCTTGGCGTTTTAATTGCTCTTTATACCGATTTCAAAAACGGAGGAGGTTCTCAATTCGATTGTATTTTTTTACTTTTATTACATTAAAAATAAAATAAGAAAGAAAATAGACTTTTTTTAGCTGGAAAATATAAATATTGCATACAATTATACTCGTAAATACAAAAGTTCGTCTGTCTCTTTCTCTCTGTATGTTATCTTTTCACAACATTTCTTATTGTATATTAATTATTATATGTACAATAGCAGAACGGATTTAAATTAAATCTGAGGTCATACTTCCATAATATAATATTATAAATGGGAAAGCGAGTCCGTCTGTCTATTACATTTTCGCGACTAAAGGCTGGAGGGACTTTAATGAAATTTGACGTGAAGACATATTGTATTAGAAGAACGGATATAGGCTATATTTTCTTTTAAAGAGCAGACGATGTCGAGGATAACATTTCCGTAGGCGAAGTTCCGTAGGCAACAATCGTTACATTATTGTACTTACATTTCCTATATTAATACAATAATAATATCTCTAGATAATTCACAAAGCGCCATCTATTCCTACGCTACGGTGATAGGTTTAGCATATTGCTATTTTCGAAGGTCGCGGGTTCGATTCCTTGCACGGTGTAAACATTTATATTCTTGAATATCATTGTTGTATGTATAAAAAGTGTCTTATTACAAAATATGTATATGTATATATTTACATCAGTTGTCGATTAGCCATAACTCTGTCTGGCGCTGAATCTGGTGATTAATATCGAGGACTGGCCATGCCAAGTCTCTCGTGCCTTATTTTGCGCGTATTGAATTTTATTCCATTGCGGCACTTAGGAAACAACGGACAATTGTACAGGACTGTATCGAATACACACGAGGTTTCGTCAGGCATTTCGGATATAGCTTGGAAGCCTAGAGTTGACTGTTCGGTGATCACACAGCAACGCGGCCGATCTCATACATGACAATTATAGCGGAATTAAATACATTAAGGAAATGGACTTGGAAGCCTAGAGTTGACTGTTCGGTGATCACACAGCAACGCGGCCGATCTCAAACATGACAATTATAGCGGAATTAAATACATTAAGTGGTGAAATGAACTTCCGCAAAATAACACCTATATCGTTTAAATATATTATTATCAGTTACCTGGGCCCCGGTTGGGGGATGTCAGCGGGCTCGTCATCTGCATCGTAGAAATCATCCTCGCCCTCCGATGATGAATATGATGTGTCCGGCACGAACAGGGACATGGCTCCTGTGTAACATAATAATTAGTAAAATAATTAATATAGACCATTGGGGGAAAGAGATTGTTAGTAATTTAGACTAATAACCGTTGTTCCCTAGAAACCATCATCAAATCCTTGTGAATTTCTCACGATGGGCTAACTGACTTGACCTCATGTTCATCTTATCATCATCCACTGGTGTCCCTCCAGCTCAAACCGTTAGCACAGGCGAGGGCACCATTCCGTTATCATCTATTAAAATATATAGATCAATAGGGGAGGGGACAAAATTATTAAATGGAACATTTTTAAGAATTTAATGACACATACATTATAAATTCAATGTTTAGAATTTACAATGCATTTTTTTAAATACATCCAGTATTTAAAAAAATGAATGAATATTTAAACGCTGTAAATAGCAGAATATGAAGAAACCTATATTATATAATTACCACCATTGTACATACCATATTCTGACAAAGAAATAAATTATTATTATTCAAAGTGAACCTGCCTGTGTTAACGGTATACGCAACCGGGGTACCAGTGGCGGATGACAGGACGATAGGGGGCGAGTGCAGATGGCACTCCAAACCCGCGGAAGGACTTATGGAGCGGCTGAAGGCCAACTCCTGCCTGACGGATACGACTTTAGTCTGAGGGCACCACTAGGGGTTCCCGTTTGAATTGGACGGGGGATCGATCGGAGGGGGGACGGGGTATCGATCGGAGGGGTATATGATTTCCTGGATCCAGGATTTGTATTATATATTATTACTAGCTGTGCACGCGGTTTCACCCGTGTGAAATAATTAGCCTATGTGTTATTGTAATGTATAATCCATATTATTGTAAAATTTTATTAAAATACATTCAGTAGTTTTTCCGTGAAAGACGCTCACAAACTTCGGCGTTTATGACATTAGTAAGATTGAAAGGTTTGTTTAAAATACATAAATTTAATTGAATATTCTTTCTGTGCTTGTTGGTACTTACTAGGGGCATCGATGTCTTCCAGGGAGGGTAGTGGCCGCGTGGGGGTCGGCAGCTCACGACACTCGGCCCCCATTTCCACTCGAGGTGACAGCTCTGCACCTACACATGAAATTCTAAATGTTATATACTGTTTTAAATTTGACGCGGTCATTATTTATACGTATAATTAGTAAAAAATCCAGTGATTGGTTTAATTAAATAAAAACAAAAAATGCCATCAGAAACTTTATTAACTTTATTTATCAAACGAAGACGTGTGATGGTAGACACATATGACTGCTCATAAAAAAATATTTTATATATCATCTAAAAGATTTTATACACCATGATCACGGGTGAACTGAAGAGCATCCGCTGCTCTTCAGTTCACCCGTGATCATGGCGGTTGAAACACTGGCGAAATATCGGGAACTCGCACTTACGAAATATTTGTAAGATCGTTTGATTTTTACTAATTATACGTATGAATTCTAAATGGTCATGGACTAGGACACGGGGCTCAGATATTGCCAGGAAGCCTGGAAGGTCATTGTCCTTATAATGTGTTATATTTAGAAGGAGGAAAAGGAAATGGATATAGACAACTATTTTTAAGGGTCAATTAATTTATCCCTGTTACGCCAACGAAGTAGGCGACAACAAGGAAAACCTTGTATTAGAAGAAGTAATTTGGTTACCTTGATTGGTTAGTTTGATATGTGTTTGAGAAGAAGAAGAAGAAGAGAAGGAAAACCTTGTATTAGAAGAAGTAATTTGGTTACCTTGATTGGTTAGTTTGATATGTGTTTGAGAAGAAGTAGAAGAAGAGAAGGAAAACCTTGTATTAGAAGAAGTAATTTGGTTACCTTGATTGGTTAGTTTGATATGTGTTTGAGAAGAAGTAGAAGAAGAGAAGGAAAACCTTGTATTAGAAGAAGTAATTTGGTTACCTTGATTGGTTAGCTTGATATGTGTTTGAGAAGAATTCGTTGGACCTTGATAAACACCGTTGACTGGATTTACAGTATTCTATAAAAAAATAATATAAATTGTAATAAATGTTATAAATAAATAATTAACCCTGGACAATTAACACAGCTCCATCCAGTCCCACGGTAAGCAGAACTTGTGTTATGGGTACTAAACAACTGATATACATACATAGATTTTTTTGTTAATACATACATAATACACATAGAAAACATCCAGACCGATAGAAATAATCACACTCATGAATACAAATGTTTGTATCGTGCGAGGAATCGAACCTGCGATCATCGGAAGTAAAGCGGTGTGCTAGACCACTAAATCACCGAGGCCGTCATTAGGACATACGGAATAATTTACAAAAAAAAATCTATTTAAGTATTTATATCAGTTGTCTAGTACTCATAGTACAAGCTCTGCTTAGCTTGATGGCGTTGTTTGAATTATCCTGAGACATCATTATTAATTTTATTTTCACTTGAGTAATTACAATACAATGTAATGAGAGGCAGGCTTTGATACGAAAATACAAAATGTGGAAGCAAGCCACAGTGTTATTTTTAAGTATATTTCTAGACTCACATATAAATATGACTATCTGTAACGGTTGTTTTTCTACCTCCTTTGGTTCTTTCGAGTTCATTATATAATAAATATGTTAATATTACTACTTTTTAAACATATAGGTTACGCATCGAATATGCTGCACATAAACACACTATCAATCAATCTTAACTCCTTATAACATCCGTCTTGATGGTTAAATATATGTTTTAAAAATAAGCTTACTTTGCTGGTAATAAAATATGATATTGGTCGAAAAACAAATTGCAAGCTATATATGTATTTATTTCATAGCGATGATTTATATATATTACAATCGAATATTTTTTTTGTGGATGATAATGGAATGATGCTCCCGCCTGCGCTGACGGTATATGCTGGCGGGGTATCGAATGATTTATATATATATTGTAGAATTGAACTGTAGAAGAAGGTAATTCAAAATCAAGTCAAGAGACTTGGACATAGGTAATTGATGCTAGGAAAACAATTTCTGCCGGGAAATTACAATATAAGTACAGCGTTACTGTACCGTATGCAGTGTAGGGAAGCATTAGAGGAAAAAAGGAATCAGTTACCTCAACTGCTATATTGACAAATGGCAGTAAAAATGGGGTTTTTAGTTGGTAGTTGGAGGTTCTGCAATTTTATCGACTTACTATTAACACTATAGATATGCTTCGACTCGCCATGTTGTACCCCTTCAATGGGGCTGTTCTAACATTTACAACATGACGATCTCGATGGTCGCACATTCGTCGTCGGTCGTTTTCTTGTACGATACAAACATTATTATACAAAACATTTATATTACTGTGTATGATTGCTTATATAGTTCTGGGTATATGTATATGCAGTATAAACATAACACAAGCTCGGCTTAGTTTCGGACTAGATGACGCTGTGTGAGTCCAGGATTATTAATATTATTCTATACTTTTATACTCAGTAAATGATACTAGAAATCGTAAATTTTTCTCTGGAATAGATGAAGAAGAGGACAGGAAGGGACAGAGGGGACAGTGCTCATCTATGTCCCCTAGCGACGTTCGTGTATGTATATATGTATAATAATAATAAATAGTAATAAATTGCATCAAAATAAACAGCAGTAGTACCTTAGCTATTTGAAGAAGCACTATGGAATGTTTTATGTTATCCAACATTGCCTGCAAAGAAAAAAACATTGTCTAATAAAGCTGTACATTGCAGTACAAGACTAAATATTATATGTACAGTAATCAACAAACATCTAGAAGTAGGTATCTGATAAGCATAATTAAATATTAACACTTGTCAAATAAAATATTACGTCGTTTGTAATAATAATCAACGACTATATTAATTATTATATGCATGATACTATATTCTTTTTATATTTATACTATTTGCACTATCATGATAATAGGAAGAAATTAAAAATGATGTTCATCATTTGTTGGTAAAAATACTCATAGTAGGCTGACTTTTGACGCAATCGAATCCTAATCCAGTCGAAAGGGTGTCAAATTGTATTGTAAATATGGATTTATACCATAAAAATTATATATCTCTAAGATTTTATAGTTTCTTTATAGTGCGCCACCTATCTTCTTTCACTCAAAATTTCTATCTCCCAGGTATAGTTTTTTATAGTGTGCCTGAACCTACCTTCTTTTACTCAAAACTTCTGTCTCCCAGGTACTCTATAAGAGACTGCTTTAAGCGATAAGGCCCCCTTTTGATAGCATATTTTTATATTAAGTTCGTTTTGTAAATATATTTATTTATGCACAATAGAGAATATTTTTATTATTTTACAGAAATGTAAATAAACTATGTAATGTACATACACACACATACAAATAGATACGATGTAATTTGATTTTATTATTACCTACCCGTCTATAAGGGACCCGTCCCGGCTTCGCACAGATGCATTACAAATCTTTGAATTTCTCGGCTTGTTCTATACTATGACACGCATGTTTTATACATATAAACCTTCCTCTTGAATCACTCTATCTATTACCGTAAAACGCATTAAAATCCGTTGCGTAGTTTAAAAGATCTAAGCGAACAGATAGCGGCGACAAAATTGTTTTATACTACGTAAAGATTATATATGAGTTTAATTTGAATTTAATTCTATTTGCAGTCAAGTCAGCCTGCAGATTTACGTGAATATTATATATAGTATTTATTTACAAATATCACAACAATACAATGTTACCTACACAATAAAGCGGCATACCTACGCAGATAATACTTACGTTGGAATGGTCTAATATCACTTGCCCTTTATTTTTCTCATGCGGATCGGCCAGCTCGGATACTCGCAAACTTATTTTCTGTAACAAAAAATAATAGTCACTGTAACATTTTATTTAGGCCGGTGTTATGATTACCAGTAAACGTTCACACTAAATTACAAAGTTGGGTTTATTGTTGACTAGCTACTCGCCCCGGCTTCGCAGGGGTGTACATTATACGTATAAACCTTCCTCTTGAATCACTCCATTTATTAAAAAAACCGCTTCAAAATTCGTTGCGTAGTTTTAAAGATTTAAGCATACATAGGGACGGACGGAAAGCGAAAGTCAAATATGGTAGACTACTAGCTGTGCCCGCAGTTTCACCCGCGTGAAATTTATAGCCTATATGTTGTTCTGATGAATAAGTTATAAAGTTTCATTAAAATTCGTTCCGTAGTTTTTGCGTGAAAGAGTAACAAACATCCATACTCACGCGATTAATTATACAATATTTATTAATAAGATAAAAAGTAGTAAAATTAAGAACTATTTTAAAATAGGTTCAAGAGTATGTGAATGAGTCGAATGATAATACACTTCAGGAATGTATTCTTTTAAATTAAAATAATTAAAACGGAATTCGACATTGGGTTTAATTATGAAAGGCATAGGGATGTTCAAGTGGCCTATTTCAGAGTACCGGCGACAGACATGATCTCTGACTCTCATTATACTAACACATGAATAATTTATCATAGAGAGGGAAGAAAGTCCGTGTCATCTAAAAATAGTTTTAATTACTGAATAATTAAATGTACTTTTAGCTTGCTATATAAAGCAAGTATATTTGTAAAGACTATCTTATTTCATGGTTGATTTAATTAGTAATTAGGTCTATTAAAAATAGAAATAATATTTATTCAAATAAACTTAATATAAGCAATTTTGAATAGTTATATTTTTTTATTCTACGACTCATTTAGAACTCAGACTCATCACAAGAAGATTGAGAATTTTTAAATAAATATTGTTCAGAATTACATTTAGCCGAAAAGAACTAACAGAAATTCTACTAACTCTGTTCAAATGCTAAATTGTTAACTTTTGGAGGGTATACAGTGAGTGTACTTACGGAAACGAGATCAATCATGATCTGCAGGTAAGCATCTGCTTCAGATATACGTCGCTCTAGGTCGCCGTGGCGGTGCCGAGATGTGGGCATGCTCCTCGACCATCCTCGCCTGCCATGTCGCGATATAGTCTCCTCGAGAGCGCGGACCCAACGCTCTCGTTCTGATCCATCACGAGCCTGAAGCAGGGGATAAATCATAATATTAATATGTGAAATAAAACAAAATACCCTAAAAAATTACGCGGATGGAATTTTAAATTCGGTACAGTTAAAGCTTATATTATATACTATCTGTTATCCGCGAGTTAATTCGTAAATTGAAATAAATAAATTTTCCTAACTAAAAGTCCTAAGTTACTCCTTATAACAACAGCTAAAATCCCGTCAAAATCTAAAATATATTTGTCCCCCATATAAGTAATTTTTTTGAGATTTTTTTGCCTATGTCCGTCCTCGTAATATAACAGGGGCAGATTAAGGTAAGGGAAATTAGGCCAGTTCTTAGGGTTCGTAATTCTTAAAACTACATAGAGAAATTACGTGTTTTGAGAAGTCATAACTGAAAATTGGAGAGAAATACAAAGTTGTCTAGAGCCCTAGGTGGTTGTTAGTAATGGGAACTAGTAACCCTCATCGCTCGCAATGTACCATGTTAGGTCGACTTCCATGCGGTTCCTCCTTGAAACTTTGTTATAAATTGCTCATGTGCTGACTGACGTGATCTCATATTCACTGGTGCCTTGCCGGCATAAACCGTTAACGCAGATGGGTGCACCATTTCATCATCAGTCATCACCCATAAACAAAAACAAACAGACATTCAGACTCACCATAGCATGTATTACTTTGTATAGATTATGGAATGGTACACTCGTCAAAACATCGAGGTCATACTCTGCTAGTTGTATCAAGTATTCCTGTATATTTACCTGGAAGTGGAAGGTTTTGTGGTCGACTGTGATGGTGAAGGTGGAGTCATCCTCATCATCAATGCCTATGACCGCCGCCCTCAACCTCACACAACCGCGGCGTACTCCCCGCGTCATCTTCTCTTTCGACTGAAAATAAATTAAATTTACAATTGAACATTTATTACAAACTATCAATCAGTAAAATCATGTATGTAATTATGTTATCTGTGGTAAAATTACTCAAACATTTACAATTAGATTTAAAAAGTATTTACAATTTTACATTGTTGAAGTATAGAGGGCATTTATTTTATAGACTAAGTGTCACTTTTCCGTAGATGAGTATTATAATGATGACCATAAAGACTTATAAGACATATTGCATTATGCGTGCTGACCTAACAAAATTTACTTTATAAGTTACTATTATGTTATCCTACACAATTTATATTGTTTCGGATGAATAAATAAATAAATAAAACTAGCTTCGTTCGCATGAGTACGTCTAACCGGGAAACAGTAGCCTAAATCCTAGTTTTTATCGTGTGGAAGATACATCAAAAGATCGTCCCCCCGCTATAGGGATGACGAGGGGGCGTGGGGTTTTGTTTTGCTTTTATTTTTTAAAACATTTATTCTATTCACTAAATTATTAAATAGTGAGAAGCTAAACGCAATATTATGTATTGGATTTGGGTGATGTGCTTGAAAACTGGAATAATATGAATATTAAGGCATATACTCTACGCCTTAAGGTACATTCATATTATTTCAGTTTCCTTGATTACTTGTATATACAGGCTGTATATTACATGAATATTTTAATTATTTTCTCTTTTTTAAATATACTTCTATACAACTAGTTGTTATCAGAAACTACGTATGCTTTTTTTTAATATAAATAAAATTTAAAACAAACAAAACTTCAAAGCACTTTTCAGTAGTCACATTTTTTATTGCACTTTTAGATAAGGAGCAGAAAATTTGCCTGTAGCTCTTTTAAACAGATCTCAACTTTGAATGAATGAATGAAACTAACAAACAGCAGAATTTCATAACAGTCATAATATTACATGTATAATTTTTTTAAAGATTATTAAATGGGCACATTGTTTATTTTTAATTATTAAAACCTCTTAAGTATATTACGGCCTCGGTAGTCTCGCGGTTAGACACCTCATGTTTACATTAGTCTGGGATTGATTAAAAAAAATCAATCCTTAATCAGAGCAGACCAGTCCCTACAAGCAGTGCCCTTTGATAATTATGATGTTAACGTTAACTAATAATTTAAATCCCATAATATTTCGACGTTTTATATGATGAAGTACAAATGACAGAAACGTGATGAATAGTACAAACAAAACGGTTCACAATATTGCATACACAATTACTGTTACAGTGAGAAATATTCCGCAACTAATTTGTGCGATTTACATTATTTTAATAAGAGGCGGAACAAACGAGAGCTGTTTATTACAAATCGTATACACCAACCTTGATAATAGGCACGGAAAACGCATTAGTGGCAATATGAGGGCACGATGCGATGGGGAAGGTGATGAAACCGTATGCTGGCGAAAACAAGTGTTTGACCGTATGCAGACTAATGAGTGAACAATAATAGTAACCCTAGACACACTGAAATACACATCGTCATCTATCCCCAAACTAAGCAGAGTTTGTGTTATGGATAAACTGATAGATACACTCAAATACATACATGTTTTAAATACATACATAATCATCATCTGCTTCTTCCTTACTACATTTATTTGTGGTCGGCGCCTGTATATATTTTAATGAAGAGAAAAACATCTTTTCCTTAAAATATATACATAGAAAACACCCAGACGATAAAAATAATCATACTCATGAACATCGTATTCACCGTGCGAGGAATCGAACCTGCGACCATCAGAATTAAATCGGTGTCAATACTGAGAATATTGTTGTTCATCTTATCATCCTCTACTAGTGCCCCGCCAGCGTAAATCGTTAGCGCAGTCGGGTGCACCATTCCATAATCATCCATTAAAAAATAATATAAAAAAAATGTTTGGCCGGTGATGCCGTAAAGATCAGCCACGGCCTAATGGCTAACTATGACGAGTATATTCAATTAGATATGTAGCGATAATATTCTAAACTACGAGCTGACCTATGTAATGATGTCAAATGATATTTTTGTATTCAAACTAAAATACAGAAGTGTAATTAAAATATATGGAAAGAAATTTTCCATAATGATATATCAACGTGTAATTGTACAAAAATATATGTAAATATGTGTATCTCATATTTAAGTATATTATATAAGAACAAACATACGAATGCTTGAACTATGCTATACTTCAGAGGTAGAGTTTTTAAAAAGTCGTCTGCGGGGACACCCGAGTCTCACTTATTTCAACCTTGCTTTGTAAGATTCCTTTCGGTTCAGATATGTCATAGATTGATATGAACAGTTTTGTTCCTCTGCATTTTTGAGATAAATCATAGCCTATGTATATTCTAATGATTATGTATAATCTTTATTAAGACCGGTTCAGCTATTTAGTTGTAATAATGAAACGATAAACAAACAAACAGACAGACAGAAACACCTTCACATTATAACATTAAGAATGGATTCAGTAACTAACAAAATAATGGTATCAGCCTGTATATAAATCAGATAAACAAAATAATTATATTCAATTGAAATTGAAACAGTGAACTCGTGGTTAAAACATATTTCCGTTACGTTGCCATATTGTAACGACACTGCTGAGTGACTGTACCTAAACATTACTAAGTTACGTATTAAAAATAATAAGAATTATTATTCTTATTATATTCTTATTCTTATTATTATTCTTAATTTATCTGGCAAGTTAACCTACAGTACAATTTATCTATGACCCCACACTAGACTGTGCTGTATCGTGGAAGTCAATGTAAAAGAAATTAACACTGCTGGTACGGCGATCAGAGAAAAAATCATGGAAGCCATCTTTAGAAAATATCATGAAGTATTTTATGAAAAAGCAGGTAATACTTTTACAATGATTTGTGTTTTTTTTATTGGGTTGTTTGGGCTATTGTCAGATGTTTGTAGCACCTGTAGCACTGCGACCTACATAGATCTATTGTGCTCGCCCTTTTTCAAAGTTTGCTACCTAGACTCGTCAGGGACAAGAATTGAAGGATATTCTTAGGAGCGATGGTTTTTATCTCCTCGGGAAAGAGTGTAAACTTTTCAAAGGAGATATTTCGTTTATGCATGAGTGGGCTACAACCACATAGGATGTGTAGTGGCGTTTCCTCTTCAGTTTGGCAGAATCTGCAGATTCTTGTCGTGCATAGGCCTAGTTTAGCCATATGCTTGTTTAATTGGCAGTGTCCTGTGAGGGCCCTGGTCATCGTGCATATGTTGTTTTTACTCAATAGCAGTAGTCTATTGGAGAATTTGTTCGAGTAGCCCGTTTGAACAGTTCTTTTATTCACAGATAGCTAATGTTATAAGGAGTTTAGGCTACTTTTATTATAGTTTTTATTTATATTAATAAAAAAAAAAGGTTTGAAATGAACAACCTTACACATGAATACAAATGTTTGTACCATACAAGAAATCTAACCCGCGACCATCAGCGGTGTGCTAAACCACTAGACCTCCGAGGCCGTGATGCTTCAAACAAATCGGTTCACAATCATTTTTTGTTTGTTATTACCTACTGTTCCACGACTTCATATGTGTACAACACATATGAAGTCGTGGGCACACTTATTATCTATACATATAAATAAAATTGGAGTGTCTGTTTGTAATATCGAAATAACCGTATTTTACTACATGCTTATAAATATAAATACATACTCAAAAATATTTTTTTTTTAATTTTTTGTCTCTCTGTCTGTTTGTTCCGGCTAATCTCTGAAATAGCTAGACCGATTTTGACGGCACTTTTTTGGCAGGCAGCTGACGTAATAAGGAGTAACTTAGGCTACTTTTATTTTAGAAAATTAAGGTAAATTCCTAACAGACGAAGTCGCGGGTACAGCTAGTATTAATATATATAGTCTAATAAAGTATACTATTATCAAAAGCATCTAATTTGGATGCAATAAAACATTAGCGTTATGAAAATCAGCGGTACGCGTGCGTTGCAATTGTAACAGGCGAGGTGAAGTGAATACAATTTAATATTCTTTTGTACACGATTCAATTCGAGGCATTTCGTACGATAAGATGCGAGATAACTTTAATTTATGCCAATACAATAAATGAGAGCGAGCGTGGTTCGCTTGTTACTTTCAGAGATGCGCAGGCCAATCGTAAAACGGAATGGACAACTTGTTAAAACTGGTCTGGATTAGACGATGACTAAAATAAAGATCAATCGAGAATTATAATGATTCATGGATTTTATTGCATTATTTAATTGATAAGGAACACTTTGATTCAAATGATAAGTTATCATTAATCGAAATAACATTTAATTTTAGAGTAGACGACGTTGTTTTAAATAATAACTGACACAATGAAAATAATAGATAATGAGAATAATTACCATTAAAACTGATCGCAACAGGCTTTGGCTTATGGCATTGGCAGGACCTTCTTATTTATTAATAGATTGAAAATAGGTTTTTTTCCTTTTACATTTAGTCCCGTATTCGTTAGAAAACAGGACAATATACAGGCTATAATATATATATATATATATAGCAGTTACTAGCGCTTTCTTCTTTTTTTAGATAAATGATATCCCATACAGACAGACGCACTGTAGAATTTATTATACAATAATAGTATGGATGTGCTCGATTATCATTCACAAAAAAATAATAAAAACACAAAACTAAACCGTTTAAATATATGACATACGGACCATCCAATATAAAACTTGATAATCACACTTGACTAGTATTTATATTCATTGCGAAGTCTTACTGAAATAAGGTCACAAAGAATGAGTTTTATTATTATTTTTATAAAAAGGCCATTTTCTGCAAACATTCGCGGATTCATCATTCACGGATTGTGGACTTACCTTATTAGGCATTACTTCACGACATAGATATACTATCTGTTGTATTTGTATAATCTATTCGTTATTTCTTTTATCTTTAATCTATATACTAATATTATAAAGAGGTAAAATTTGTGAGGATGTAGGGGGAAATCTGTGTATTTACTGCACTGATAAAAAAAAATAACCGATAAAGAAAATTGTAGGAAATACTGGGGAAAAGTGATGGGAAAATGCGACGCAGTAAAAATTATATAGCTTGAATATATTAAATCTTTCTTTATGACATTTAGTAAAATAAAAAAAAAATCTATTCCTTTTTTTATATTATTAACCGGGTCTAATTATAACACTAATTTTATGGAATTAAGTAATTTAGCTCTCTCGAGGTTTTGTTAGGTTGCACTAGCCGTGGTGACGAGCTGACTTGAGACCCAGTACAGTATAAGTAATGTATATTAAACACGAAAGTACAAATTGAGCCGACCCCAATTAAGATGGGAATTTGCCGGAAGGGTAGTAGAGTAAACACGAAAATTTAAAAATATTTCTATTCCATGTTATAATTTTGTTCACAGACCCTAGATGCAAGGATTGGCCTTTGATGAGCTCACCGTGGTCTATTGTGACTATCATTGTAACGTATTTGATCATTATCAAGTTGATTCTACCTATGCATATGAAGGACAAGAAGCCATACAACTTAAGGCTTGTAATGAAGTGGTATAACATCATTCAGATCCTCGCTAATGCAGTTGTCTCTTGGGGGGTAAGCATTTTTTTTATATTTGATCGAATGTTTCTCCCGCCTGCGCTAAAGGATTTCGCTGGCGGGGCATCAGTGGAGGATGATAAAATATGAGTTCAGGTCAGTTAGCCCATTTTGACAAATTCTTAAAGAATTTATCATGATGGTTTTCAGGAGGAACCGCATAGGGGTCAACCTGACATGGTACATTGCTAGCAGGGGGGAGGGGGGAGGGGGTAAATATTCGACCGCCTCCTGACATAGAGCTATGATATAAATGCTATAATGCTAAAAAAATATTTCAACGGTATTATTAAGCACTAGTAAAAAAATTTCATTAAAAAACTACGTAGTGTTTGATCAAATTTATACGAAAAATGTAGACTACCCGAGAACTAGCAGCTTTAAAATAACAAAAGAACATGAAAATTAAACTACAGTTAAATTAAGAATCTACATTTTTGAAGCCGCTGGAAAATTAGACGAAATTCTATAATTATTAGGAGAGAACCACGTCCAGCAATAGAAAGATAATGAATTCTTATATTTTAACTCATTATTGCATTAACATATTGTTCAAGTTACAGAACAAAGTCATTGATATACAAAAGACAATATGATACAGACAGTGTTATAATGTTGTTGCGTTTGCCGCTTTTCTGTAATGCATCCACAATGTTTGTAGCAGCATTTACTGACGAACTGTATGCCATCAGACGCAAATTGATCGCCTCTCTATTGCACAGAATGCGTGGCAGCAGTGACAGCATTCTTAAACTGCGGTGCAATAAATTTGACAGCCCAATACATTGTTTTTGGACCCAAATTGTTAGGCCTTAAATGATAATATGTAATTTTAGGTATACTAACATAGGCTAAGTGTACTTGTTACTAACAAATTGGATCTCTGTTATCTGAATAAATGAAATTATTATTATAATGATATAACAAATTGTTCAACGAGGTTATTAACTGATTTTGAAAGAAGACCGTCATTTAATAGGTTTAATTTTAATGTTTAGTACGTACCTACGAATGATGCCGTGCATTTGTTAGAATGAGCTATTGGTGTAATTATATCCTTAGAAATAAATGATGGAACTCAAGATGATTGTAGAGTCGATTAGTTGGAATAGTTATTACAAATGATGAAGGCTGTTGTTGCGTAGTTCACAGTATCTTTTGATGACTAAACGCCTGAACGGACTTAATGAAAGATAAAAAAAATAGTATATGTTATATATAATATACAGTTTTTTTTAGTAAAAAGGGTTTATGTGACCGTAAATCCTTTGTATTAAAAAAACTACTACTACTATTTGTGTACCAAATTTCATTTAAATCGGTTCAGTAGTTTAGGCGTGAAAGCGAGGCAGATAGACAGAGTTAATTTTGCGTTTATAATATTAGTATAAGTATGTATTCTTGAAATAATTTAATTTTAAATGGTTTTGATGTAACATGTATGTATGTATATGTTCATATAAACGATTGTAATGATGACATAGGCATTTCAATTAAATCATAATCTCACAAATATTGTACATTGTACGTATAAACTAATTTAGTTATTAGTGGAAACAATGAGCAAAGCAGCAGAAACTAGAAAGGCGACGAAACAAGAATGACGGACCGCTTTCACAATGTACTGAAATATGCACTTTACGGGCGCTGTTGTAAACTATTGTTTACATTTTAATTAAATGAGTATATTTAATTCAAATTCTACATTTCATTTTTTTTTATTAAGTATTTTACAGCCCTGGACATCTACTTTCAGCCTTCATACTCCATTCTATAAGGACGCTATAGATGTAATTAATAGTTGATTTGTATTTGTAGAATGTAATTGTTTGACATTTCATTTATGTCGAAAACAATAGCTTGAATAATAAACAGATATTATGTACATTACTAATTAAAACAACACTCTTTTTTATATCTTTCTATTATACAAATATTTTTATAGACGGCCTAGGTGCTCTACCACATCGTTTCACTTTCGATGGTCGTGGGTTCGATTCCTCACACGGTGCAAACATTTATATTCTTGAGTATGGTTGTTTGTATCGGTCTGGGTTGATTATTATATATGTATTTATAAAAAAAAATCTAAGTATTTATATCAGTTGTTTAGTACCCATAACAGAAGCTCTGCTTAGTTTGGGACTAGACGGCCTGTGTTGATTGTCTAGGGTTATTTATTTATTTTATTTCACATTGTTTGTCCACGATGGAATGCTACACTACTGAAACAATTTTGATGAAATTTTATATGTATACTCGGTAGGTCTGATATATAATAGGTTTTTATCTATATTCAATTACATAAAGTTATAACATCAATTATGAATCACAGTCTTCTAGGAATCATGATTTTTATATTTTAAAGACAGTGCTAGATTATCATAACATATTATAAAGCAAAGTCGCTGTCTCTGTCTGTCCGTCCCTATGTACGCTTAAACCTTTAAGACCACGCAATCTTTCGAACCTTTTTTTTAATGCATAGAGTGGTTCTAGAGGAAGGTTTATATATATAATACATTTACACCCGAGCAAAGCCGGTGCGAGTAGCTAGTTATATTATATGATTCATATTGTTTGATAAATCACATTAGTGATAAGATAAGTTTGCATGACTAATTAAAAATATAAATACACAATAACATATATAATACGAATAAGGTTTAAAATGTAAAGGAATACAAGTGAAATAGAATACTCTAAAAATTAAAAATACAGCTCATAACATTAAATAAAGAAATAAATAAGTAACCCTGGACAATTAGCACAGCGCCATCTAGCCCCACGGTAAAATGAGCTTGTGTTATGGGTACTATACTAGACAACTGATATAAATACTAAGATATTATTTTGTTTTGTGAATACATACATAATATAATATAACATTGAAACGACTTTTTTTATTTATTTTCAAGGAAATTCATACAAAATAAAATATAAACATCAAACCGCAAAACTGCTCAGCAGTTTGTCTGCAGCAAAAGCGCTTAACTGAATACTTATTTATAATGTAAGATACACACATACATATATTTACATAAACACATTACTGTAGAACCAGGTATCTAATGCCATACAATATGCCTTAATATTTGTTTACAAAAAAGTTAAAGTTACAGATCCTATGAAATTGTAGCTATGAAACATCTCGATCATGTTAGCTCTCAAATAATAATAAGCACATTATAATCATTACATTCGTTTATGAGATACAATGTCACAGACCGACACACAAACAAGTCAAACTTAGACCACTCCTGTTTTGTGAGTCGTTGGTTAGTTAATGTTAGAAAGAGCCTAAGAAACAATATTTTCAACTTATTTCAAATTATACAGTAAAAAAGTCTAAATCTTTCCATTCAATATGATGAATAGTAAACTTGGTATATAAAAACTAGCTATCCCGGAAAACTTTGTTTTGGCATATGAATTAAGGTCTCTATTAAAACATAGGGATATGCGATAGAAGGTTGAAAATTTAGAGTTGTATATATTATTTAATGCCACATTATATAAAAATAAAAATTTTGTCCTAAAAATAAATGTTACGAGTGGACAACGCTTATGGGTATGAAAATGATAAAGATAGGTGTATGAGAAAGCCGATTCTCAGACCTACTGAATATGCAGATAAAATGTCATAAAAAATTTTTCAAGCCGTCTCGGAGGAGTTATGGTAACTAACATTCTGACACGAGAATTTTATATATAAGAAGTGTTTTAGTTGTGAATTAGCAGGAGAATGTATTTTATGTAACTTGACATTATAGAACAGCAAATGTAATAGAGTATCTATTACATTGAATGAATTGTTAGAAAATAAAGAGCAGAGACCGATATTACAGTATAGATAGCTCTTTTGATAAGTTTCAATATTATGTCAAGAGTTTGAACTCATTGTTCTTACATTATTTGTATCAAAATGTCAGCTGAAATATAGATACAGACAGCATAATTTGCATCAAAATGTTATCTGGAAAGGCGCAGTCGATTTCATAAATATATTTTGACGAAGTCGGTGGTCTGGTGGTTTAGCATACGGTTTTATATTCGATGGTCGCGGGTTTACTTTCTCGTATGATGCAAGATTAATATATTTAAGTTTTTTCTATCAGTTGTCTGGTGATCATAACACAAGCTCTGCTTAGCTTGGGACTAGATAGCGCTGTGTGAATTGTCCAGGGGTAGTAATAATAATAATAACACACACATACTGCACTTAAGTGGTATACGCTATAAAGTGTAGAAAACCAGCAATGGCTGAGAAAATATAGTGTAAATAATAATAATATTAGATAATGTTTAAAAATACTTTCTTCTAATAATCTAATAACTACTAACAGTAACTTTTAACAAATACTATGTTAAAATTACTGTTTGTAGTTATAAAAAATGCTCAGATATATATATTAAACTAACTATATAATAATAGGGCAAGCAAATTAATTTTTTCAATTCATTTTTATTTATATTTTGTCTTCTATTTGCTTTTTGATTTAGTTTAAAATATATATAACTATGGACTTTATTTTCCAGTTATTGTACTATACCTACTATATTATACTAATTATTTATTATTTAGTAGCTGAAATTGTGCTTTATTAATAAAGATGGACGCAAATATGTAATTATACTGAGCGCCTTGAGCGATTGTAGAGTGCGCCGAGTGCTTTGTAGTCTTTTGTTTAGGGCTGATACATCTTCTAATATGTAAAATTCTCGTGTCACAGTGTTAGTTACCATAATTCTCCTAAACGGCTTCACTGATTTTGATGAAATTTTATAAGTTTGACAGTAGGTTGCTAGCTATTTTTTTACCGCTAAAGTGATAAGGGTGGCCCATCCTGAATTTTTGTTTGCTTTTTTTCAAAATTTTATAGGCTTGAATGAATAGAATAGAATAGAATAGAAATCAATGACAATCGAATATTATGGAATTAAGTGTTAGAATCTTTTTTTGTTTAATAATAATGTATTTTTCACATCCCTACTTTCGTTTGGTATGTTTTCACAGCGTATGCATTACATAGCACAAACGAGTACAAAGGTGCTTGTACCTTATATTCCCTTTGAAGAAGGCCTCAGTGAGATTTTCTTAAAGTAAGAGTAAGGTCCTGTAACGATGAAATCTAACTATATAAATAACATATTTGCAAATCATTGCGGATGTTATGGCGCAGTAGTTTATAAATCCGACTCAAAGATTGCAAGTTTGAACCTAGACCACACAAAAAAAGCTCTGTATACGATAGAAACGCTGATAACTTTCTACTTAAATTTCATTAAGTAGTTTAAAATCTAAAACTTTTAATTTAAAAATATATTCAGAATACTTCCTTATTTTATACGTAGTAGACAATGTAGACAATTTGTATACAAATTGACTACATTGACATGGTAAACCTACTAGTCTTACCCCGTGACGTCATCCGCGTTTAAGGACCACTTGAGTGGCTGGGATAAAAGGTAGCTTTACGTCGAGCAGTCGATACGTCAACTTTTTTTTTTTTTTTTTTTACCACTTAGGTGGCAAACAAGCATACGGCCCATCTGATGGTAAACGGTTACCGTAGCCTATGGACGCCTGAAACACCAGGGGTGTCATGAGCGTTGCCGACCCTTAAGAAACCTTAATATACCCTTCTTGTAAAACCCCATGCTGTAGTCTCTCGAGAAAACCTCGGCAGATAGTTCATTCCACAATCTAAGTGTACGCGGGAGGATCTACAATCCCAGACCAAGTGATGTATTAGACCAATCTAATACATCAATAATTATATCATTAGAATAATAGAGATGTAACAGGCAGCTGTCATAGGCTGAGTGATAGTGAAAATAACTAGACACTACAGACCAATAAATTCCAACTAAACTAACAAAAAAACTAACATTAGCATGGCACGAAAATAGATCTTATCTCTATTGCACTAAAAATCAAAATGACACAAAAAGAAAACAGTACAATTAGGGGGAAGGGGATTGTTAATAATGTGGACTAATAACCCCATTGTTAGCAATGTACCATGTCAGGTTGACCTCCTCGCGGTTGTCAACCTGGAAACCACCGTGATAAAATCTTGGTGAAATCTGTTAAGATGGGCTAACTGACCTGACCTCATGTTCATCATATTATCCTCCACTGGTGCCCCGCCAGCGTAAACCATTAGCGCAAGCGGGTGCACCATTCCATTATCACCCATAAAAAAACAGTACAATTGAGATTTTCCTTTTTGAACTTGACTGAGACATAATAGCGACGCCTCGGGGTGTAAATTGAGCGACCGGTTGTTACACAAGTCGAGGAAACGGGCACGACATTCTGAACATATCGGATGACTTTATGGCCGGTGATAGCATCGGTACGGCCACGCCCAGGCGTGCACTTTCATTCCTCAGTGTCGTAATGGATTCACAACATGCCGTTGATGATTCACATTGGTAAAACATTTTACACAATAAAATTAATTAATGAAAGAGGAAAGAAATTTACTGTCAACTAATCTTATTAATATTATAAACGCGAAAATTTATGAGTATGGATAGATGGATGGATGGATGTTTGTTACTCTTTCACGCAAAAACTTCTGAACAGATTTTGATTAAACTTTGCAGTACTATAGCTTATACATTAGAATAACAAAGGCTATAAATATCACGCGGGTGAAACCGGGGGCACAACTGGTATATAATAACTCGAGGGCCTCGGTGATTTAACGCTTTGGCATACCGCCTTACTTCCGATGGTTGCGGGTTTTTTAGTCTGGGTTTTTCTATGTATATTAAGTATGAATTTACAAAAAAAAATGTATGTGTTTATATTAGTCGTCTGATAACGTAGTACCCACAACACAAGCTCTGCTATTATTATTAATTTATATTTTTTTATTGAATGACAATGGTGTGATTTACCCTCACCTGCGCTAACGGTAAACGTGTGCTTAGCAGCAGTGGAGGATGGTAATCAAGTCAGTAAGACCACCGTGGCGAATTCATCAGAAATTAACCAGGATAGTTTCTAGGGAACCGCATTGTGTGCTGGAGGAATATTGCAATGTTTAATTTGTTGTATTAATGAAATAAAAAAATGTTTAGAATATATTGTACACAGAATTTAATAGTGACCCCACGGAATGTTCGAGAAGTACAAAATGTATATAAAGTCAAATAAAATAACATCGATGTTCCATGCGTGACGTTCCAAATTTGAATTTTATAAATTTAGTTTTTAAATGCAATTATATGGCTATTTGCGATCACAAACATGCATGAAGACAAAAAAAGTATTTATATCAGTTGTTTAGTACCCATAACACAAGATCTGCTTAACTTGTCCCAAGTTATATAGGTAGATGGCACTGTGTGATATTATTAATATTTACTTTATTTTCATTGCTTTTGCTGTTACTATATATTATTATTATGCCATAGACTTTTTACCTATGATGTGGTGATAGATTTGTCATTGCGAGTGAAAATCACCAAACAATGTTCACTATAAAAGAAATGATTATGATTTCTTTTTAAAGGTGAAAAAATATTTACATGATTATTTCTAAACCTTGATACTTTCATTCCACGTCACCAATCTCCGAATATTAGGACATCCATGTATGCACACCTACATCTATAATGCCAAGGTAATAATTTTACTAATGCAACTGTTATCGATCAATCTCTATATTAGATAATTGCCATTACTAGTGATATCACTTTAATGGATGCGCCAGTTATGATCATTTTGATCGCTCATCATTGCCTTGCTTTTATTCAATATCTTAATTATTTTCAAGAGAACTTTGTGGCGTAATGATTACTAGATCTCAAAGATCGTGTAGCGAAAAGAAGTTCGAATGTGAATGATACAAAAAACTTGTGTTTCAATTTATATTTCTATTTATATCTGATTTCTATTTCTATATGTATCTTTTTCTAATATATAGAAAAAAAAGTATATTTACATAGTATAAAATGAAATCGGAATTACAAATTAAATAACATAAATAACACAATGAAAAAAGTCATAGAACAACGTATTTTACGAACTATGAAAAAAAGATAGAAGTTAGTCTGTGTGTGTATGTGTTATGTGCAAGACGTGTGTGACAGAGAAAAAATATATTAGACATATATTTCTACAATACGCCCAAGCGAAGTCGGGGCAAACAATAAATATTAAAGTAACCGTAAGCTTGATCAATCGAAGCTATTTCTACACTTGATTAAACTGATAATTGTTAATTACGCCTGAATGAACGTCTCGAAGGAAAATTAATGAACTGAACGAAAGGGTGTGTTCATTAAATTGAATAATATTATTATTTTATAAAATAACAATGTTTGTTAATAACAGTAGAAAGTTTCAAATTTTTTCGTCTCTCACTATTAGCTATGCTACACTGTATTGGTTTGATAGGAAGCAGTTTAGAGATAAGTCCACGTTCTCAAGATTTTCATTGTTTACTAATTAGTATTGTTACTTTAAAGTGCGCTAAAGAATATATATCATCAGCTGCTTCTTCTTTATACCATTTATTTGGGGTGAGCGTAATATGTTTTTCTTCCATTCATCCCTGTTCTCAGTCATCTCATTATTTACTCCCCTTCTTACCTTATCCTCTTTCACACAGACCATCCATCTCTTTTTCGGCCTTTCTTTACACCTTATCATCAATAATATAACATTATCCACATTCATATGTAACACCTTACATAAAATATTGTCATCATTCCTACGCATGCCCTTACTATGACAGTCGATTACTCTTCAACCATAAGTAAGATTATATATATATATATATATATATATCTAATTATATATGAGTATAAAGAATATAATATGAACATATATACAATTTTTTGGTGTAAGTCCGGTGATGAAAACCGTGATAACAAATCACTGAACAAACTGACAAACGTTAGTAGGCCTGCTCTACGTGTTCAAATATACCGAGCGACATGTCGGCATGTCCAATAATGCGAATGACAATTGTTGACAATACTTTTGTCTACCCTATTATGACAATAATAGTGATAGTATAGTTATTTATTTTATTATAAAAACTATTTATTTATTTCATTATAAAACATTTCAGATTTTGACCTCGGGTTGGACTACCACCTATCACTTTGGTTGCATGCTCCCGGACTACTCGATGAATCCTGAAGCATTGAGGATGCTTAGGTTCCTCTGGTGGACATTGCTGATTAAAATATTCGAAATGTTGGAGACCATGTTCTACATACTGAGAAAGAAGGACCGTCAAGCTTCATTCTTACATGTTTACCATCACATAAGCACTATGACTTTCGTCTGGATGGCTGTAAAATATGTGGGAGGTAAGATTTCGAGTTTTATATATTTATAGCTTCCGATGGTCGTACGTTCGATTCCTCGCCCGGTACACAAACGTTTGTATTCATGAGTATGATTGTATCAGTCTGGGTGTTTCTATGTATAGTATGAATGTATTTACAAAATAAATATCTGGTAATAAAATATTGATATCAGTTGTGTACTACCCACAACACAAGTTATGCTTACCTTGGGACGTTGTGTGAATTGTCCAGAGGTATACACTGGTATCGGCGCCTCCAGACCTAAGATAAGCAGAGCTTGTACTATAGGTACTAGATAACTGATAGAAATACTTAATACCCGCTGTTAACTTATATATTAAAGAATACATATAAAAGATTATAAGTCAACAGCGGGTCCACATTTAGCCAAAACATAAATTTTATTAAAAAGAAACAGTTTTGTTCTCAAATGTTCAATATATACAGCTAATATTGAAGTTTCCGCTCGACTACAGTAAGAAACAGTTTCGGCTTGTGAAATTCCGCAGCGCAAAAGGCTGCTTCCCTGGGGATAATAACGCCGTAGTAATGGAGGCCGTCCGAGCAATAAAACATCAATCCTTCTATATATATATATCCAGCGGCATAGGGTTTGTAAGGAAATAGGCGCAACACTCTCAAATTTTATTTATTACATGTGGCGGTAGAAATTATTATATTTTTAAATAGTATAAAATGAAGTTGCCGCTGCTGTTTCTTCGCTTATATCTTTTAAATTACGCAACTCATTTTAATGCAGTTTTTAGCAATAAACAGAGTGATTCAAGAGGAAGCTTTATGTGTATAATACATACTTGTTGTAGTATAGAACAAGCCGAGAAATTAAAAAATTAGCAATGCATCCGTGCATTGCGAATTTTTGAATTTCTGTGCATACAGTGTATACTACAGAGACCCGTCCTGACTTCGGACGGGTCGCTAGTATATGTACACATATATATAAATTATATTATACTAATAAATAAATAAATATATTTGTGTTTCTCTAAAACAAAAGAAATTTGTGATGTGATCATTCGTCTTGTAATCGTTAGGTATGACTAATATTAACTTTTTGGTTAATAAAAACCACAATTAGGAGAAGTGACTTTTCAAAACTTCTGTAAGGTATAATTTTTAATAAAATAGTTAACATTGATGTAAGAGTGATTTTTTGTTGTTTGAGTAAATTACAAGACAATTTACTCATTACCTAGTCTGATATAGGAAGATAGAATGTATTTGGACATAATAAAATTATCATAAGGTTTTCTAGTGTTACGTAATATATAAAAAAGTATTCAGAGGTTACATAATTTATATATAAGGTTAAATTTATGAAATATATGTTATTGGTTACAGAAAGTAATTGCCCAATATGTCAATATTTAATAAAGGAATTATATTATAATACGGAATGTCAAATCAAGTGTATAAAATTATCTATAGACGAAATTAATCGGCAGAAATGGTAATGAACGATTTGTGTATAACAAGAGATATGATATGTTTTGTCAGTCCCAGGTATGCTCAATCTACGGTCCGCAAACGTTGAATACAGAAGCGATGCGTAGTTATATGTATGTAGTTGTATGTACCGACAATTAAAATAAACAAATTTATATATATGTACTTTGAAACAGATAATTGATCAGTTGGGTATTAAAACAGTGATAATCTTAATTAAAATTTACTTAAATTTAATCACTTTCGAATACACACTTCTTTAAATCTACCACTTATTCGGAAAGCAGTTTAAATACAAAAAGAAGTAAATAACTTGCTTCTTACTCTAAAATATTGTAAACTTAACATTTATTAATTAGTTTACATTTAATTAATACAGACTATCAAATAGCACAATTTCATTAGATTCAAGCTCCAGTAGAATAATACAGTACCTCGTTTAGAAATGACATACATGCCACAAATAGTATATGAGGATAATAGTCTGAGATTAATCATTAATATTAAATATCATAAAGCTCCTCTCTATTAGTGACAATTAGTCTTTCACATTACACAATCAGTAATAATACTAAAAGCTTGTACAAACCTAACTAATAAAATAATCTAGTGTAAATCACTGACATCCCAAACATTATTTAAACATAAATTCAAGAATTGGCTATTGTTTAATAAATTTTATAGTATTTAAGAATATTTCACAAAAATGAATGTCTGTTATTGTTAATATTATAGATCAATTACTTTTACGTAAAAATATATCTCCTGTGGAATATTTTGCAAATAAATAATTAAATGTAAGAAATATTTAATTATTTCTAGCAAATTATAAAAATAATCTAATGGAAAGGTAACAGTAATAAAATAACTAATAATAATAACACATTTTACGATGCATTTAATCCCTGAATATAGGAATGTATTTCTAGTATTTATGTACGCAAAGTCCGTCACTTATTATTTTTCTATTAATATTGTTAAACTATTTATTATTTTATACAATTTGACTGTACAATAATACTAGTATTGTATACCGTGTGTGCTGTTGGTTTCTAAATAAATACAATTCGTAGTTCACATATGAATAATACAGCAATTAGCTACCTAAAAGCTAAACGCGGCCCATCTGCTTAAAAAGTTGAGAATGACCTCTGTGATTTATTAAATATAATAGTTCGTTAGTCTAATTGTTCAGATACTTGTGTCACGGATACCGATATACTCCAGTTACGTTGCACAAATTAGATGCCATTGTCCAACCAAATTTCGTAATGTCTAATTCGTAACAACCCAGACTTAAGATTAGCAGACGTGGCCTAAAAATTTAAAACTATTTCACAATTTGAATGGCTGAAACGCAGTAGTCGTATATAGGAGGACTTGTTGTGCCCGCGGTTGTACTCGCATGAAATTTATAGCCCGTTTTATTCTGATGTATAAGCTATATTTACTGTAAAACATCAATAAAATATGTCCAATAGTTATTGCGTGAAAGAGTAACAAAACTCCATCCATAGAAGGTTGACCTCCACACGGTTCCCTTTGGAAACCATCGTGATAAATTATTGGTGAATTTTTTATATTTGTATACCTTATACATCAGAATAACACATAGACTATAAATTAAAATTATGTAAATTGAGCAAAATATGTGAAATGTCAAGTAAGTGTGATGCAGACAAAGTTGCGCGGGTAAGTTAGTATATAATATATGATAAAAAAACAGTGGAAATGATTGATAATGATTGAAGTCGGTTGAAAATTTCAGTAAATTTAAGCCAATCTTCTAGATTGAACCCTGGTACTCATAATGGTCCAGAGGAACCGTAAATCAATTTAGATTAAAGTTGACCCTTTTAGTTAAAGTGTCATTATATAGGTACCGAGTTCTTGAACGTTTGCGAGAGACCGTATCTAAATGGAAATCAGTTACAAAGGACGGACTTGAGAATGAGAGAAAATTGGTTAATCCACTTCAAATTATACTGAAAACTGTGGTCATTATACAAGCCTTTATATCGTTACTAATATTATTATGAGTATATATAACCTACTTATCGATTACGGTTTAAAAAAAATTGTTTAGTGTCAAATATAGATTGACATTATTGTAAAAAATATTAAAGCTATACAATTCTATTCTAAAAATGAACGTATTTGACCACACATACCATTTCAAAGCAAAGGAACTCAAACACAACATATTAATGCGAAAGTAACTCTGTCTGTCTCGCTTTCACGCCAAAACTACTAAACCGACATAAATTAAATTTGGTACACAGATAGTCTAGACCCTGAGAACTAAGCATACTTTTTAATCCGAAAGAAGGGTTGTAAGGGGTTGAAAGGGGAGGTGAAAGTTTGTGTGGAAGTATTGTTATTTTTAAAGCTAGAAGCTTGAAACTTATTTTTTATTGATTTAATATAAATAATTATGACATTCAAGGTTTGTAAAAATGTTACCCTTAAGGGGGTAAAATAAAATAGTGGATGAAAGTTAGTATGGAAATTCGTCATTTTTATAAATTAAAAATTTAAGCAATGTGTAATTCATAAATTTAATTGTAATATATAAATATACAAAATTTTATATTCTTTTTAATCCGGTCCATCATGACTGCAGACAAAATCAACTGTAGAAGTTGATCGTATATACAACTAATATAACTTTTAATTATCCAGAAGCTCTATACCTATAAACATACAATTCCCGCGCAATACAAATATTTGTATTAGCGAGTAATTTTTTGCCAGGACGTGTAATTAATTGTTTGTTTACGATGTTCGAGCCCGATACGATTTGCTGGTCGATTTGGATTGATTTGGGAGTTTTCCGTTTAATTTAAAAAAAAATACACAGTAACATACAATCTGTATTAAGTTTAGAATTAAATTATATATAGACTGTATTACTTGAATTCGAATGAGTTTATTTCGTATAGTCGTGCACTTCTCATTACATACAAGTAATCTGGTATTTACAGGGTATAGAGTAATTTTAGTCATCACATATTAATGCATGTGGCACCATGGATGTCACGCGACCCTTAGCGGTACCCTCAAACTAAAGTCGTATCCGTCAAGAAGGCCTTCAGCCTCTCCATAAGTCCTTACTCGGGTTTGGAGTACTATCTGCACTCGCTCCCTACCGTCCGGTGATGCTAGTAAAGGTCAGTAGCGGCTAACAGTTCTAGAATAGTCCGAAAAAAAGGTTCGTGTTTTTAATAACGAGCTCTAGACAACAAAATACTAATAAAATTTCATGACAATATCTAAACTGTAACCTATTAACATTACTAAAATAATTGCGCAAATATATAACTTACAAATGTAACATAAAACAAAAACAATCGAATCGAACGAACCGTATTGAAATCGGTTGTAAATTGACGTCAAAGGAATAAACATTCAGCAAAAATGAACACAATAGAAGATAAAGTTATCGAGAACCGGTCACTTGTACGTAGATTTGTAAAACGCGATTGAAAGCTCACGATTCCAGCCACCTTTTGTACTATTTCTCAGTTAAAACT